GAATGATGAAACCGAAAAATGTAATTTAATATTAACCAAAATATTTCTTCTGCCCAAGGAAAGATATACAAAGATAATTCCTTCAATTATTTAAGGTTCCATTTAAAATTAAAATCAATGTAAAATTGTACTTTAGACTAAACTCTAATAAATACATGTAACGATAGGCTCTGCTATTGCTAGTTATTTTATTTTCAAGATCTAAAGTAAACGATCTGCTGGTGCTTTTAGTAAGTCATGCAAGATGGTGATCAAACTACAATTAAATACATAAAACCCAAATAGCACATTAGCGGTACCTTTTTTTCATGTGGTCACATGACATCTAAACTCATGTTTTTGTAATAACCCTGATTTTCAATTTTTTTTTTGTATTTATTTATTTATTTATTTTAAAGACACGTTCTCTGACTTTTATAGAGTAAAACATACTTTTTCAACCAAACTGATATCTAGCCCCCTCAGATTTATTTTCCTTTTTTTATATTTCCTAAATAATGTTTAACAGAGCAAGATAATTTTCACAGTATGTCTGATAATATTTTTTCTTATAGAGAAAATCGTATTTGTTTTATTTCGGCTAGATTAAAAGCAGTTTTTAATAATAAAAAAAAAAAAAAAACATTTTGAATGGCAAAATTATTAACCCTTTAAGCAATATATTTTTTACTCGATTGTCTACAGAACAAACCATCATTGTACATTAACTTGCCTAATTACCCTAACCTGCCTAGTTATCCTAATTAACCTACTTAAGCATTTAAATGTAACCTAGTTAAGCACTTTAAGCTGTATAGAAGTGTCATGAAAAATATGTAGTAAAATTTTATTTACTGTCATCATTGGAAATATAGAGATCAGTTATTAGAAATGAGTTATAAAATCTATTATGTTTAGAAATGTGTTGAAAAAAAATCTGCTCTCTGTTAAACAGAAATTGGGGAAAAAAATAAACAGGGGGGCTAATAATTCTGACTTCAACTCTTTGTATATATACACACACACACACAGACATGCACACTCTTACATGTCTGTGACCTACAAACATCTAAGAGTTGTAAAGAACTTTTGATCATGGTTTGGCGAGCAGCTCAACTGTCATGAAAAGATGTAGAAAGGGGCAGGTCTGCTTTTGTTTGCCTCAACAGCTGTGAGACGCAATGTAGAGGGCCGTGCCTCATTAAAATAGGGTGTGAACCAGAGGGGGGGAAGGGATGACATGGTGCTTGGGTCTAAAGCAGGGTTTCAGCTCTTAAAACAAGGCGTCCACTTCCTGCGAAAACACCCTTCTTCCTCAAGTGACCGCAGGATCCACCCATGCTAAAAGCACGGTGTTTGATTTGCGATGGCTGCTTTTAATGCACAATAGACGACACCTGTTGTGAGCTTGGTTAAGCCAAGGGCCTCTGTAGCCGGAAAGCTAATCAGAAATGCCTGCGCTACATCAAGCCTTGGAGTCTGCAGAATTAACTTGTGATGCTAATGGCTAATGAACACAGCGCATAGGTTTAATCCCATTAGCCGGTGGTCGGACTGACCTCTGACATGCAGTCGCCATATTATAATCTCTATCCCTCTTTCTCCTTTTTCAGCCGGCCAGAGACAATTGATTCTCTTTTGTCTCTGTTCCTCGACCTGTAAACAAGCCTGCAAACAGTCATATTGTATGGGGAACAAGGACTAATCTGGACATATGGCATTGAGGCGCCGGACCTTAGACACAAAAGCCAGCTATTGTTTTTGATGATGGTATTGATTATGTTCATATTTAAGAGCCTCCGTCAGCTTCGGTGAGCAGTTTAATTACTTGCCAGGCTGTGATCTGAATATTGATCAAAACAAAGCCTCAGATGCGCTAACAAGGCCCGAAGCAATTAATGCCGAGCAGAAACACCGCTATGGATTATTGAACAAAGTAAACAGAGTGATTTAAGAGTGCCAGCTCAACCTGCCATTGTAGACAGCAGAACACCTTTATCTTGCGTGAATTGAGCTGCTCGTGTGATATAGACTTTGTGGTGTCACTTACAATGCGGAGAAGGTTATCAGGACTTTAATTCATCAAGGCGTTCAGTCTGAAAGCTTGGAGCGTGAGGAGCACTCAGATCCTATTCAATTTTTGACTTTTAAAATCTGTCGTGTGTGCAGTTTCTGCTCTTCTTTTGATTAATAATGGTTTCAAATGGCCACTTCGGAATGAAAGAGAGCACATTTTGGGCTCAAAACAGCAGAAGACAAGCACAGATAACTGTGATGTGATTTCCAATTAATGTGACATCCTTTTAGGCACTTTTAATTTGCTCATTCATTTTCAAATATGTAAAAGGCAATCTGTTTTCCCAGCGATTCATTAGCTAATGAGTAAAATGTCTGCTCCATTTGTAAAAAATTTATTTTTTCCCATCTGTGAGACAATTTTAGAGAAAAAATCTTGAAAAAATATTAAAGATAAACAAACTGAATAATTAAAAGTGAACATACATAAATAATGTGAATGTTTCTGCTTCCTACATTAACAAATGTTTAATAGGGAGCATAAGCAAAGCATTTAAAGGGCACCTATGATGAAAATCAACTTTTGTAAGCTGTTTGGAAAGAACTGTGTAGGTCTAGTGCGTCCACTGTCATATTGGGGTGATATAAAGACAACAAGTGTCTTTTTTTTTATTTTTTATTTCCTGATGTTAAAATTGAACCCAAATCCCAGTGATTTTGAGGCTCAACGCAACGTGATGAAGAAGTGCGGTTTTCCCCGCCCACTGAATTTATTGACAGGTGCTATGTCATATAACATGTATACACATTTATATGCAAATATAATTTTTTTTGCAAATACACTGGGGTTACATCTGTAACAACTCTTTGTGATCAGCCGCACCCCAATAATTAATTTTAAAGTTAAAAACATTTTAAAAGCAGAACATGTTTGTAATTAAGACAGTAAAATCACTGTAATCCTAACTGCTGAACTCACCACGGGCGCATGGTGCCAGCAAATGCACATATGTATGTATGTGTTTGTGTGTGTGTGTGTTTGTGTGTGTGTACTGGTGTGTGACTCATCATTTCAGAAAGGCTTGAATAGATTCCACCACAAATACATACAATAAGCTTACTTGGTATTTTTGAATGGTGATCTTATTTCAGCTTCATCCATGTCTGTTTCAATCACTGACGGCTGTTTATCTGACATAACACAGGAGAAGCAGACATGCATATCGGAGCGGTGGGCGAGGAGAAACAGCTCATTTGGATTTAAAGCCACAAGGCTGCAAAAAACAGCTACACTGTAGTCAGGCACAAAATGGAGAGTCTATATTATGTAATGAATAATCTAATGGGTATTTTAGGCTGAAACTTTACATACACATTCTGGAGACATGAAAGACTTATCTTAAATCTTGGAAAAGGGGTAAAATAGGTGCTCTTTAAAGCCACAACATCAGCTGTAAAATAAAAAAAATCAAAGATTAATTTTTTTCAAAGAGGTTTTGAATTGAGAGTTTCACCATATGTTAGTCATTACTAGGCAAAACAGAATCTAACACATTAATAAATATAGTTGATGTCACTGTTTCTTATTCCCTTTATTAGACTTAATGCAAAAATGACTATAAAGCAAAAATTCAAAGCCAATATATACATCAAATTAAAAGATTAAATCTATTGATTTGTTTGTAAGGTTATCTTTATTTGTTTATTTTTAAATTAAGTTTAATAAATTGTCCATTTAATTTTATTAATTATTAAATAAATAATTTCCTCAAAGAAATGTATTTATTTACCACTGTTAATAAAGTTTTGTCCATTGTGTTACATTTTGTCTATGTGGGAATTTGGAAAAGAAAATATGCATTGATATTAATGATATGACAGTTTCTTTCTCCCAACATTTTCCAACAATACTCAAGTGTTTTTTTTTTAAATTCCAAGAAACTGTATAATACAATTTATAATACAGTAAAAGAGAACAGTTCTTTATAACAGTTTTTACATTAGATAATCAGGATAAAGAGCAAAATAATAAATTAATAAATAAATTAATTAATAAATAAATAATATAATTAAAAAAAGATAGATAAAATTTCAAGTAGCATGAAAGATCTTATCATATTTACCCTAGAAAGAAGCACATTTCTTATTATCAGTTAATCTAAGTGAGTAAATTAAATGTTTTATTTCACATAAGAAGTCTATACAAATTAGAAGTAACCTCTGTTTGTGAACATAAAACTTCCCAGCAAGTATAAGAAAGTTCACAGTGGTTTCCAACGACTTGTTTTGGTTTCCAAAATAACATCCTTAAGGTCCAAATTACCACTTATATTAACCTTGGAAAAGCAATATGAACTTAAATAATTCTAAAACAATGATGATGCATTACATAAAAAAAAAAAAAAGAGAGACAAATGTCTTCACACTCATTTTTGCAAAAGGTGCAAATATTAGTAACATTACAATATTTGGACAAGAGTGCATTTCAGGGGTAAATATTGTGCAAAAGTTTTAAGTGCTCCTCTTTTATTTTATTAGGAATACAAAATGTATATGTTAATAACCATGTTTTACAAGCAAAGGTGTGTTTTTTATTCATTAATTAAAAAGTGGCATCATCAAGACTTTTACTTCAAACAGAAAATGAAAAGTGATGAACCACTGCCCTCTGCTGGACAAAACTAAGGTCAGCAAACGCTACGGAGAACAAGATAAACAATAAAAGGCTATGCTAAATATGAACATCAGTATCAATCAATATCAAATCAATATCATCTTTAAATCCTTAGTCATATCTTGTGTCAGAGGACCAGATTCTCAATGCCATATGTTCAGTATAATCAATGTTCCCCATACAATATGCCTATTTCCTAATTAAATGGTCTGGTTTACAGGTCAAGGAACAGAGACAAAAGAGAATTAATTATCCAAGGCCAGCGTGTATTACAGACCTTATAGGAAGCATATTGATTTAGTTCAGTTTAATAACATTTTGTCAGACTCACCATCCAGAATAGTGTTTTATTAGCCAGTGCTTGATACTCGTCGATGGTGGACAGCACACTGAGGATCAGGCAGGAAAGCACAATGAGGAATCTGCATAGGGAAAGAAAGATATGTCAGATTAAAATTTATATATATATATATATATATATATATATATATATATATATATACAGTTGAAGTCAGAATTATTAGCCTCCCTATTAATTTTTTTTTCTTTTTTAAATATTTCCCAATTGATGTTTAACAGAGCTAGGAACATTTCACAGTATCTCTGATAATATTTTATCTTCAGGAGAAAGTCTTATTTGTTTTATTTCAGCTAGAAGGAAAGCAGTTTTTAATTTTTTAAACATCATTTTAGAGACTAAATTATTAGCACCTTTAATCACATTTTTTTCGATAGTTTACAGAACAAACCATCGTTATTTAATAACTTGCCTAATTACCCTATCCTGCCTAGTTAACCTAATTAACCTAGTTAAGCCTTTAAATGTCACTTAAGCTGTATAGAAGTGTCTTAAAAAATATCTAGTCAAATATTATTCACTGTCTTCAAGGCAAAGATAAAATAAATCAGTTATTAGATTTAGATTGGATTATAAACAGGGGGACTGATAAATCGGGGGCTAATAATTCTGACTTCAACTGTATATATATATTGCTCAGCATAAATGAGCATATCCCTCATAGATCTTTTTTTTTAATAAATATTTTCTATAGGATGGGTCACAATAATATTTTTGCTCATATATATTTGAAGAAAGAAATTATTAGCCCCCTGTTTGTTTTTCCCCCAATTTCTGGTAAACAGAAAGAAGAAAACATTTCTAAACATAATAGTTTGTTCTGTAGACTATTGAAAAAAATATAGTTTAAAGGGGCTAATAATTTTGACCTTAAAAAATAAAAACTGCTTTTATTCTAGCCAAAATAAAACAAATAAGTCTTCTCCAGAAGAAAAAAATATTATCAGACATACTGTAAAAATTTCCTTGCTCTCTTAATCATCATTTGGGAAATATTAAATAAATAAATAATAATCAAAGGGGGCTTATAATTCTGACTTCAACTGTACAATAAATTAGTCAGTAAAAAAGCCAAAACTGAAACTAATCTAATTAAGATAACAGTCCTAAAATTTGTTCACTCAAATTATTTTGTTGGAAAAATATTAAAAATAACAATTTTATAAACATTAAAATATAAAAAGAAACCTTAAAATATCAAAATTAGTTTAACTTCAATTTAAGAGTATCATTTTGCTATTCTTAAAAATGTTCGGTGACCAAACCTAATTTTATTCGATATACCTATTTAAAAATATGGTTTAATTAGACCTTTCTAAATATGTATACTTTTTTCTGCATATTGATAAATAGTTTTAAGGTGTTCTTTTTAAACTTACTATAGTAATTATTAATAATTATGTATGCATTATTACATGCCATGAAGCCTAAACTTAATCTGTAGTCTAACCCTATGTAGTAATGTAATTTATTAATGAATTTGTTACTCTTTAACAAGCACACAATCGTATTTTTATGTGTTCTATTATGCTTTTTAAGCTTTTAGCTGCCTTAAATGTGTAATGTTGTTGTTTTGGCATTTAAAAGAGAACTGCAAAGTTAAATGTGATTTAAAAGCATTTTTTGACATCGAGATGAAATGTTCAATTTTACATTGTTGAAAAAGACATTTATTTTTTATCATAATTTATTTTTATTATAATTTATTTTTATTTAAAAAAATTCTTTATGAAATGTAAAATATTTTTAATCGTGTTTATATGGTCAGTGAAACATTTTTCAGTGTTTATTAAACTCCTATGCTCATTGTCTGTTTTCTTTTAAAGTGTTTAAAGGGCAAATACTTAATTACATTTATGGGGCATATAATTCAATAAATATAATTCAATAACTCATATAAAGCATATAATTATAAATTAAATAAATATAATCATATTAATAATAATTTTGATTATTTACATTTAGAGTACATTTAGGGTCTCTGTCATGTTAATGCATGAAAAAGAACTGTTACACACATTGTTTGCTGTATAAAATGCAAAAACTTTGAAGCCCAACATCTCAAAATCATACAAAACACAGACAGAACCTTATAATTCCAAGGCGATGATGTGTTGTCAACTTTTTATCACATTCAATAGACACTGTTTTACATATCTAATGCGGATACGTTTGTGATTTCTTTCATATCTGTTCACATTCACAGACATAAAAAATATGTTTTTATTTTGTGTGTGTGTGCTTTTGTTATATCCGTGTGTATTTGACAGCTGGTACAAAAGAGAACATAATAGAGAGTGTAATACTCATCACATGTCCTTCAGAAAGGTTTTATGCAGAAGTGTCAAACTCAATTCCTGGAGGGCCGCAGCCCTGTACAGTTTAGTTCCTACCCTAATTAAACACACCTGATCAAATTAATTGAGTCCTTCAGGCCTGTTTGAAACCAACAGGTAAGTGTGTTAGAGCAGGGTTGGAACTAAACTGTGCAGGCCTGCGGCCCTCTAGGAATTGAGTTTGACATCCCTGGTTTAATGGATGGTTCTACTTACAAATGTTTACATTTTTTTCAAGAAACCCTTCATTTTTCATTGAATACACATTTTATTCTCTAATCTGAGTAAATTAGCAAGAATTTATTTATTTATTCATTTTTAATTTTTTAATTAAATTAGGGAGGTGATCTAAACATTTTTGGCCCTATATACTGCCGGCATGCTATCTCTCTCTCTCTAAGCAGGGCTACGCCCAGTCAGTACCTGGATGGCAGACAACATGAGAAAGCTAGATTGCTGCTGGAAGTGGTGTTAGTGAAGGCAGCAGGGGGCGCTCAACCTGCGGTCTGTGTTGGTCCTAATGCCCCAGTATATTGATGGCGACGTTATACTGCTCAGTAATCGCGCCTTTCGGATGAAACGTTAAACTCTCTGTGGTCGTTAAAAATCTCAAGATGTCCTTCGGAAAAAAGTAGGGGATTAACCCCGGCATCTTGGCCAAATTTGCCCACTGGCCTCTCTCCATCATGACCTCCTAACCATCCGCCTATTATGATAATTGGCTTCATCACTCTGTCTAGACTCCACCTATCAGCTAGTGTGTGGTCTGGCACAACATGGCTGCTATCGCGTCATCCAGGTGGATGCTGCACACAGGTAGTGGATGAGAAGATTCCCCCCCCCCCCCCAAAAAAAAATTATGTAAATCGCTTTGAGTGTTCAGAAAAGCACTATATAACTGTAAGGAATTTTATTGTAATTTTGACTAAAAGCTTTACAGACATTTTGGACATACTTCACACTCTAGAAAATGCTGGGTTGTATTAATCCAAATATGGACAAATCAAACATTGGGCTATTTATTATTTCAATTAAATTTTAATTAAACATTTTGAGTCCATGTTTTTCCATATTTGAACAAGATTGTGTTATGCTGTACAAAACATTACAAACATTTTTTTTCTTTTACAAAAACAAAAACTACTCAATATCAGCGGTGAAAAATGGGGGAAAACGAACATTAAATAATTCATTCATTCATTTTCCTTTGGCTTAATCCCTTTTTTATGAGGGGTTGCCACAGCGGAATGAACCACCAACTATTTCAGCATATGTTTTACACAGGGAATGCCCTTCCAGCTACAACCCAGTACTTGGAAACACCCACACACACTCCCACTAAGGCCAATTTTGTTTTTCCAGTTCACCTATAGCACATGTCTTTGGACTGTGTAGTAAACCGGGGCACCCGGAGGAAACCAACACGAACGTGAGGAGAACATGCAAACTCCACACAGAAACCGACTGACCCAGCCAGGACTCAAACCAGCGACATGCTTGCTGTGACACGACAGTGCTAACCTCTGAGCCACCGTGCCAACAACATAAAAACATGAAACAAAGTAATAAAATGTAGATACTCCAAAAAAAAGCAATTTTGTTCAAAAGTCTTTGATGATCTCCTGACATTGAACAGGATTTCTCAGGGGTGCATTAAATTCGTTGGTCCAATGCTTTGTAGACGTAAAGTGCGATGACTTCCAGTTCATTAATATTATTTATTCCCCAGCCGTTCCAGACAGAAATGTGAAGTATTTCTTAATGACGAGATGAATCTAGTGGTTCAGTGTGCACTAATAACCAGATTCTAGGATCACTTGCATACCTATAATTTTTGTTGAAATGTCAACTATATATTCCCAAAAATCACACAGATCCCAACAACTCCGAAGCATACATAATAAATTACCCCAGCATTCTTTACAGTGTACATTACATCTTTTAAAAAGGTAATAATAGTATCCAGTTGAATACTTTCTTCATTAATCAGCCTCGATATGTCAGCACACACGTACACACACACAGAGAAAGAGATAAATGGCTGTTTTTTAAAGGATGCAGCCTGATTTCTAAGCCCCTGTAACAGTACTGTAGATTAAACACATCACAGCAAGGTCATCATGTGTTCTTACACCAGCAAAGGCTTTGTCAAAACTCCTGAGGCTTCCTTTGGAGAAAAAAGGAGTGTTTGTTCACAGAAGACTATGCAAATAATCTTACAGGACAAACCCAACAAACAGCATCACCTCTCATGTGCTTTAAACCGTTGTGTTTATTTGTTTTACCACCGTAATCAAATTGCCCAATGGCACATGAAGGAGAACACAAAAAATTTCCTTTTTGAATAAATCAAGGTGCGAAAGTCAAAAGTCAAAGTTGGTTTGATCTTTTATAATTAAATGTGTTTTGATCTTATTTGAACCGCACATCACTACGCCACAACATCCAGCGCAGTATTTATTAATTTGAAAATGCTGTTTCTCTGTGTTAGCTTTTGGCAGCAAAGCTTAACCCATTACACCGCTCTATTGACTCAATAATTCATCAGTCTGACTGCATTAACAATAAAAAATGAAGCATCAAGAAGTATGAAACCCAGCTGCCAGACAAACAGTGCCCAGCTGTTGCTTGTCATCACAAATTCAATGGGAGGGGCCAGAGATGTAAGTAAACATACAAACATTACCTTGGGGGAAATGGCTGCCTGACAAATATCTATCTTATTGTG